CCATGGGCATGATGGCTTGGTATATCACTTCAGAGTCCAAGTTGGGATGATCTTAGTTGTCCCCTCCAGCACAATATGTGTGAGGACCGTTGTATATTGTTAGTTCTCATCTGTTGTTTTCCCTCTTCCTCTTCGATACGCGTACCATCCAATTGCATCCGTTTTCGCGTCGGGCACAGTAGCATACATATTTTTCTATCGTGGAGCGTTCGACTCTCGATTGAACAGAATTACAGATATTGTAATTTTTTATAGCCACAATCGCTTCTTCTTTGCTTGAAAACTCCATGACTAAATATAACTCACCATTATTTATTAATGAGTAATATATATAGTCACCGAGATGAGACATATCCGCAAATTTTGGCCCATACATTGCACCATAATCAGCTTCATACATGTGTGTTGGAGGGTCAGTTTGTGCCACATTTGCTGGAACTTCATCCACATCATCATCATCATCGAAGTTGAATTGCGGTGATTATGGGTGAATAAATAGTCCAGTCTCAGCACCATCCGCACCAGGCTCACGAAGCGGTTCTTCTGGTGGAGATGATGGTTCCTCCATGCTCTCCACATTTAGGTCGAAGAACCTACTACTTGCACGCCTTCCCCTTGAACTGGAAGGCATATCGACATTCAGATTGAAAAAGCTCGCAGTCGAATGCCTCCCCCTGGAGCTTGAAGCCATCGTGTCAAATGAAAACTGCACAGATTGTTGCGTCGATTGCATCTCTATATTAAGGTCAAAGGGATTTACATATGAATGCCTTCACCTTGAACTGGACGCGATGTTGCCATACGGATTGTTCGTCGACCCACCTCGGTACATATCGTAAGAAGTTACGGATGAATGTCTTCCCATTATGGCATTAAAATCATTACACATTATTATCGTCGGGCTGTCAACTTGATCAACTTGTTCAGCCAGCCTATAGTGGGAGCTTAATGATTGACCCCGAACAACAAGCACTTAAATAAAATTTGAATGCATCTCAATATCAGCGTCTAAATAATTACTTTGAGCTTCAACCATCATTTCAACATCATCATTGTTCAAAAGTTCGAACGATGTATAAGTTAATGGCAACAATGGTGTTGGAAATCTATACTGCAACGACGACATTCTTCTACTACTTCCAACATGAATCTTCCTCGAAATCTTCGTTATCAGCTCCTCAAGAGTTATGTTTCTCTTCAATGATATTTTAACACGCTCATTTGATATGAAAACAACGCCGGTTTCATCTTCTCGAATTTCACCATCATAATAAACAATAGCTGAAAGTCGCGTCATTCTTTGAGTTTAAAAGTGCGGTAATATTATATCTGTAAAAAAACAACTAAAACAATGCTGACTAAATAAATAATATATGAACGAAAATATAACACAATAAAATTTTTACACATAAACATAAATAATTTAAATAATATAATTTTATATTATTACTTGTACCGCAAAATTGTTTCGACGTATATTCTAGCTTTCTAATTTTACAAACACAGAAATTACTTGACAATAGTTAGTATAATATTTTTTTCAAATAATCATAATAAACAATAAGTATAATAAAAAAAATTATTACAAAATTACCTTATAACGAAAAATCGCACGAACTTCTGAATCAAATATGAAAAGATTGTCAGATTGTTGTATTAATTTTTTTTCTAATAGAGAGGAGATGTGAGGAGGAGATGTGAGGAGTTACACCGGGGAAAGGGTATTTATAGCCAGGAAAAGCTACAAGACGCGGTACATGCACCGCGCCTTACATAATTATATTAGATAAAGCTAAGACGCGGTCCCTATTCCACGCATAATATAATTGTGTTAAAGGTAAGGCGCGACCCCCTGCCCTGCGTAATACTCCTAGGTGGTCTAAGGCCCGGGGTCGAGCTTTACACACGTGTATACTATGTCAGCATAAGGCGCGCTTCAAGGGGCGCGCCTTACCCTACGTGACACCAAATCAACTTAAAGCGCTCTGCAAGGGACGCGCCTTTCTGCAAAAGGTATTAGATCGAAAAATATTGTCTGAACGATGTCTGATCGGTAAAAAAACCGATGGACGGTGATATATCGGGAAAATCACCCTTTATAACAATTGTTTTAAAAATATATAAAGATAAAGTAGAGGTTATTGTTTTATAAAAATAATATGCAAAATTACATAAACGGTTCGACCCATTGATTTAATATTTATAAAACAGTTTTTTTTCTTGGTTTCAACTTTCATAATGTGATTAAAATTAGTGAAATTAATTATTAATTATTTAAATTACACTACTAACGATGAGTATTATTAATTTAATTTATAAAAATTTAAAATCCTAAAAGACTCAACATATATTTATAAATTAGTTAAAATTTTAAAGATAATTTAATTAAAATAAAATATTAATTATATTATTTTCTATAATTTTTTTGATTAACTATAATAGTGGCCACCTAACCCATTTTCATTTTGACCATAATTTTTGAAATTTTGGCAATCAGGTCATTAAACTATTTAAATACATTCAGTCAAGTCACTTGTCGTTAACAATTAACGAAAGTGTTGACGAGACAATTAATAAAAAATTATAATTACACATTTAATCATTATTACTTACACAACCTATCAAATTGGCCTCGAATGATATGTGGTAAAGGAAAAATAAGGTTTGAGACATCTTGCTTGTATGTATTTATGACCAAATATTATGATGTTAGAATTATAATTTAATTTAATACTCATATAAGTATGTGTATTTCCCCCATATCTTATTCTCTGTTCCTCTCGAAATACTAGTAATATGCTAATATTCCTGTGAGCTTTCCATTCATACTAGGTATATGTCATGTTATCCCGAGTTTTTTTTAATAGAACTTATTTTTGTTCATATATTTGAGCATGGAACTGATAACATGATTTTAAAAGTCCAAAATATTTACAAATTTAAAAATGTTTGTGTGTGAGTGTTTTTTTTATTTACAATAGACATTCCTATAAAATTTTTATAATTAAACAAGATATATGAACAAACACAGTTTTCAAACACCTACATTAACTTAATAATATGCTTATAAACTTCAATGTCAATATCCAACATAAAATACATCAAGTATTTGCTCTATATCTCTATTGTTTCAAGACCAACTATTAGAGGCTATGACCTTGAACAATTGATGTTAAAGACTACATTCGTTTTTTAATTAATTTAAAAAATATGACTAATTTGATAGATTGTGTAAGTAATAAGAACTAAATGTGTAATTATACAAATTTTATTAACTGTCACATCAGTACTCCTATTAATTGTTAACGGCAAGTGGCTTGATTGAATGCATTTAAATAGTTTAGTGACCTTATTGATAAAATTTCAAAAATGGTGATCAAAATGAAAAGGTACAATAGTTAGATTATCACTATTATAGTTTACCCAAAAAATTTGGAAAACAATATAATTGATATTTTATTTTAACTAATTTATCTTTAATTTTTTAATTAATTTATAATTAAAAAATAAATTTTTTAAAATTTTAATTTTTATAAATTAAATGAATGATATTAATTATTAGTAGTGTTTAGCGGTGTTGTAAAATTTTTCTAAATGTATTGATATTAAAGAAATCAAATCTTACTAAATGTCATAGGCGACAACGAAAAGACAAGTGAATCGAAAAATAGTAAAAACATATTATTCTTTGAGAGATAGCATGCTCTTGTTAAAGCACGTGTTTTGTAAGTGCAATTCACCTGTAATTACGAAAATGGTAACAATTTTCTTTAAAAAATAAATTCATATTTGATGTATTTTTAAATTATTTTGATAAATAAATTAAAAATAAATAAATTGTTATTATATTAATGAAATATTTAATTTTTTTTTGTTGACAATAGAAACAATTAATTCAATATATATATATATATATATATATATATATATATATATATATATCTAAAATTATAATGAAAGTTTATGACCATAATTATATATATAATTAAAATCTTCTCCTAAAATTATTGACATAATAAAGTAGACACTCGAGATTGCACAAGGATCATACAAGAAAAAAAATGAAAAAATCAAACAAACAAATGGATACAAACAAACAGATCTGACTATACCGACAAATAAACCACAACAAAATATTAAATTATTGAAATATCATCGAAAAATATAAATCAAAGTGAGACATCTTAAAAAAACTATCTATGAACGTAAATTACGTATTTAAATTCAACCCAAAGGTCCAAAGCAAGAAAGATCAATATTATAACAAATAAACGTCATCTTAATCAGTTGTAGATATGTCAAATTCAACTTAAAAATCATTCAAAAATTTTTAACATTCCAAATTCTTATTCTCATTCTAAATTAATTCCCAAACTTTTAAACACTTGATAATGTCCCCCAAAATCATTCAAAAGTTTGGAGATGAAATTGGATCATTCAAAAGTTTGAGAATCAATATGAAATAAGAATTATAATTTCGATATAAACTTAGAATGTTCAAAAGTTTAAGACTAATTTAGAATAAAACTCATAGTTTAGAGATGAAATCAAAATATTTAAAAATTTAAAAACTAATTTAGAATAAATATTATAATTTAGGGATGTACAATGTGATTAACTTTAATTTTTAGCACAAATTAAGAGGACTTCGATGGTAAAAGAATTATTGTTGTTCCTTAAGGTCTCATGTTCGAGCACAAAAATATTAAGGGTGTGAGCATTTTATGTTATATGATTGAGAGTTATATTTGAATATATATTATTTTATAATTTTTCATATTAATGAAAAAAACTTTAATTTAATTTTTATTATAATCAAATGCATAGATGAGAATTTATCATATTTAATATAAATATATATAAAAATAATAATCAAATAACTAAAAAATTAAATTGAGCTTATAAGTTGTAAAGTGATCATCCAAAGAGCGAATGGCCTGAGCCACGCAGGTCTTTGCCTTCGGCCCTCCTATATGTCCTTGTGAAAACAGCAGTCCCACCCCACTTGAAGCCGAAAGCTTAGGCCATGAGAAGATGTGAAAATGGAAATAGATGGATAGAGAGAAAGAGAAAATGGGTTTCGCATCAGTTAAAGCAGACGCTAATACTAGCAACGGCAACAAAGAAAGCAAGGTCATGGGTTTACTCTTGGTGTTCTTCCATGGCGGAGGAGACCAAACCAAAATCACCACCGATTCCACAGCCATTAATGACCAAATCAATACCACTAATACTACACCAACAAGATTCATGAGAAGAACAACCAGTTCCACTCTCCTTTCCTCCAAAGCTAAATCTACCATTTCGATTTGCCTTCTCTTGGTTTTCATTACTCTTCTTCTCTTCACTCTCTCTACTTTTGAACCCTCCCCCACCATCAAAAACCCTCATCGAATATTGTCCCAGAAGACTCAATTTCCTCTTCCTTCTCCTCCTTTTAAAGGGTTCTTCCCTATTTGGGACTTTAAACCACCGAATGCCAAACAGAAACCCAGTGTTTCTCCCTCTTCTTTCGCTCTGCAGAGGATGGGAATTTTGTATAGACGTGGGACGAAAGCCATGAACGATCTTATTGTCGGCCATGTTGTTGAAGGTTTGACTGAAGAAGAGCTCAGGCTTTTCCTAAGAGTCTTGCATAGGTCCGGTATCACTTCGAAAGCCGACATTGTTTTTCTTTTTGATTCGTCTTCTTCTCCCTTATCTTCCAGATTCAGCAACGTTATTCATGAAGAGAACGAGTCGTTCTTGAAACTCATTCAACACTACAAAGAGTCTAATAATAAAGGGCACAGTGACTCGGTGTTCGGTTTTGACTCGACCCAGTTTTGGAAATCTGGGAAGAAAGAGGTTGGGGAGACTATTTGGGGAAAGAAGGGCCCCGGAGGGAATTCTTGTAGTAATTCAACTGAAGCTGAAGGTGAGTCAACTCGGTTGACTTACGGCTCGGTTGTGGGATTCGATGTGAACGAGCTGGATCCAGAGAACTCGCTGGCTGGGTTTTTAGATCACGTTTCGATGAGTTTCAGAAGATGGGCTTGTTATCCGATGCTATTAGGAAGAATCAGGCGGAATTTTAAGCATATAATGTTATTGGATGTTAAAAGCTTGATGATACTGAGTGACCCACTCGGCCGTGTCAGGAATCGGAGTCCCGAGTCAGTTTATTTATTAACAAAGGAAAGCAGCTCCGGCAAGCATGGCAAGAGGAACTCGGATAAAACCCAGTCTCATTCTCAAATTAACTCGGCGATTTTGATGGGTGGAGCTAGAGGGATTCGGAGGTTAGCCAATGCAATGTTGACGGAGATTGTTAGAGCTACCATGCAGCATAAGAAGAAGAATTCGATATCCGAGTCAGAGATCTTGAGTCAACTCGTCGGCAATGGGCATGTACTGAAGAATGTTGACGTGATCACATCAAGCGAGTCAATTCAGGAAGCGAGTTCACTAACGGGTTCCAGGTCCAACTCAGCTGCAGCAGATTATTCAATAATACAACGCGGTAATAGTAACCATGATCTTCATCCCATAATTATGCAGCTAATATGCTTATCGGAAACAAATTCTTACGTTTATAGGGATTGTTAGAAAATATAATATATTAAATAGCCCTTTGAATATATATATATATATATATATATATATATTCTTCTTTTTTGTTTTTTTAATGTATAAATAGTTTTAGATTATAGGGATTGATTTACTAGCCCAATAAAGAATATAATTTCGTTTGAATGATCAACCTTTTCTCTTCCTTTTGTTATTTTGTCATTATTTCCTAATTGTGAATTAATTTTCATTTTCTATATATAATTTATTAGTCTAGTAATTTATAATTTATAATCCCAGTAATTAAATAACTTTGGATCCGTTTTTATACACGCTAGATCCATAATTTATGTTATAAATTTGATACATAAATTTTGTAATAAATGAAAAAATGGTACGGTTTAATCTGTCTAGTAGATATGAGGCAATAAATAAAGGAGTAAAAATATTGTAGGTTTTAAAACATTTCTGGCCTTTATATTAAAAGAAAATAACCTTAGAATATTAAATTAACCGAATGAAAAAAAGTAATAAATTTGTTAAGGTAGTGCTGAATATTTTGTATTTTTTATTAGTGGTAATGTTAGTTATTTGATCTTTTAAGTGAAATTTAAAAACAGCAAATATTTAAAAATTATAAATATATTTCCAAAACATATGAAAACATAATTAATTTTTTCAAAATGTAAGATATAAAAATTATAAAAATATTAACATTGTAAAAAAATACATAAGAATAATAAAAAAATTCTGTTACATTTTTGTTAGTTGATTAAATAAAAAAATTGTATGTCAAAATTGGCAGAAAAAGGTTTAAGGATTAAAATATCTATTTTTAAAAGTTTGAGGGTCTAAAAGTTTCATTATACCAAAATCGTATTTAATTTATATTTTATGGGTATCTACTTTGCAATTTTTCACCTAGTTGATTGGACAATGAATCTGTGACCATGTCTATATTTTGCTTGAAAGCAAGCAACGGTGTCGTTTCGTCAGATACATGATGGCTAAAACTCGTTTTTATAATTAAATTGTAAAAGAAAACGATAAATATAAATAAAATAATTTGACCTTGGATTTTTGCCTTCATATCTTTTAATTTATAATTAATTGATAAATAATGTGAATTTAGTAAATATAAATATATTAAAAAAAGCAATGGATTTTAGGTGCAATCATTGTTAAACTACAATTTCCACAGTAAAGGAGGTGACTTTCGTGATTGATTTGATCCAATCATGAAAATTGTTTACCCATTGCTAAAATTCCTTCTTCATTTTCTCCCACTTTATTCCAAAAGCCAAAAAAAAAAAAAAACTAAAGAACAAAAACCGGCAAAAATGGTTGATAATGCATGGGAAAATAAAATAATACCCGTAGTGTTCCTTGCGACCTGGAGAGGACTCTAAGACTAATTTTTCCACCTTTTATCTGTCCCCAATACCAAATCTTTTTCCTTACAAACAAGGTAAATCAAATGATTATATGTAAACGCATTACATAATTAATAAAAACAAAGTATCATTTTAATATTTATTTACAATTTTGACGTTTTTTTATATACTTGTATTTTTTGTTTTCATGAATGTATCTTGAAAGAAAATAACTGATCAAGTATATATGGTTTTTGAGGGAATAACTGATCAAGTATAAAATTCAAATTATTGGCCTAGGATATCGTGAACATATTGATTAGCACCACGTGGATGTGACTGTGATCTAATTCTGCTCCCCTGTCAAACTGATGCCAGTCAAATAAGCTATTCATTTATTACTTTTAACATATAAACTAAAATGATTGTTACTATTCATATATAACATGCTATTAAACAGTATTTTTATATAAAAAATTAATCATGCGGGACACTAACCAACGTACTTTAATGATTAAATAAATTATTATTGTCTTTTAAATTTATAAATTCGAGGATTGCAATAGAATGATTGAATATTTATTATCAAATAATTAAAAATATTTAAAAAAAAATACTACTTATAATCACATTAATTTAATAACAAAATAACTATGTGAGAAGGGCAGGAAATTAACTAGGTGATTGGTATTCCCAATAAGATTTTCTCTGTTTTTAGCAGTATCAAGATTATGGGCGAGTATTTATTTCATCGAGTCAGAGAAAAAAATTGAAGTAACTGAATTATTGTGTATTAATTCATCATTTAAATTTTATTTATAATTTTTAGTTGATTTTTTTAGAATAAATTTAAATAAAATTCAATATATTTTATTAATTTTTGTAAGTTTTAACTATAATTATTTATAATATTATGATATTAATTGATTCTAAATTAAATAGTTTTTTAATTATTTATAATATATATCATATTTTTCATATATATATATATAAGATTTATAATATTATCTAATAAATTAGATATTATATAAAATTATAATATTTTTCAAAAGAATAAATTTTGAGGAAAAAAAAGTATAATAGATCCAAGAGATTAATGAAAATAAAGAAAATATAAAGAATTACATTTAGATAATGATACTGAATAAAGTTGTAAGATGAAGAGATTTTTTTTTTATAAAATTAGAGATAAATCACAAAACAATTAAATTATTAGTTAAAAAAGTGATGTAAGTTATATTTATTTTTTGATTATTTAAAATTTAAATAAATAATTTAAATTAATTCAAACTAAAAATTAAAATAAAATTAAATCTTATTCTCTATTAATCAAAATAATATTTAAAAATTAAATTATAAAATATTGTTAATAATAAATATAAAAATACGGATCCTGCTGTACAGACTTAACAAAGAAGAAATTATTTCCAAGGAGGGAGGTAGGCATAGGGAAAGGCATGGGTCGGGTTTGAGATAACCCGATAAGATCAAAAAAATTTATATTTTTTACCCGACACAAAAAATATATACCCTCCACCTTATTTGAACGAGAAATGATTTTTTTATATAAAATCGGAACCCGAATCGATTTAACTTGAAATAATAAAAATTATTATTTTTATTTAATACAAATAATGATTTAATTAAAAAATAATATATAAATGAGTATTATTGTAATTATTTTTAAATATATAAGGTAAAATTATTATTTTTCTAGGTCGGGTCAGACCGAGTATTTTACATCCTAAACTCGAATCCGACCTAACTCGAACACCACCGTTAAAAAACCCGATCTGAACCCAATTTTTTTAAAAAAAACCCCGACCCAATTGATCTGATTAGAATCCGTCGAGTTCGAGTCACATGACCATCCCAAGATAGGCATAGTTTTTGGGGTTTAGAGTTTAAACTGAGAATAAAATAAATGGTAAACTATATCAATGACACCTAACTATAGCTTATTCTTTTTTAATCATCATTTTTTATTTTTTGTCAATAAGACATCTAACTATTTAAATATATTGTATCAGATCACTTGTCATTAACATTTAACGAAAGTATTAACATGACAATTGATACAATTGATATAATTATACATTTGATCATTGTTACTTAAAATTCTATCAATTTAGTCATATCTTAATTTTAATAAATTAAAATAAATTTAACTTTTAAATTAAATTATATCATTTATCATCAATATCAAGTATTATGACACATGTCATCATTTGATAAGAGACATCCTCTCTCTCTCTCTCTTGTAGAAAGAAAATTAAAGTTGTTAAGATGGGAGAGAGTTGAATTGACATTAGGACTTAAGGTTGAGAGGGCAGCCTTCCCACCATCGTACCAAGCGAATTATTTGGTTTGGAATAGACAACATATGATATATATTTTGTATATTGATGTAAACGTAAATTCTTAATATTTTATATAGTGCTATATATTTTAACTTAAATTTATTCAGTTGGTAGAGCGTAAGGTTTTTAATCTTGTGATTGTGGGATCAAATTTTACGATAGGCAAATTCATAATTCTGACTGCAGGATGTCTTCCACGAAAGCTGCTCTCAACCTGGCGTTGAGGACAGCCTACTACCTTACCTCCCCCTCACTCATTACATATGAGATTAGGGTCAACTAATTTTTATTAATATTAAGAATATTTTTTTATTTTAAATTATTAAATCTATTTTATTATTGTCTTAATATAAAAATATATTTTATTTTAACTTAAAAATATATTTTAATTTTATCATAAGTTAAAAATATATTTTATTTTATCTTAACTTTTAAAAATATATCTTATTTTTATTTTTACTTATTACATATATTATATTATTAACTTAAATTATTAAATATATTATAGTCTTACCTTAAATTATTAAATATAATTTATCCTTATTTTAACATAAACATATTTTTTATTTAAAATGTATATTTTATTATTTTTAATTTAAAAATATATTTTATTTTTATCTTAATTTTAAAATATTATAAGAATAAAATATAAATATTTAACTTAAGATAAGAATAAATTATTTTTAAATTTAATAAATGACTAAAATATATTCTTTAAGTTAAAAAACAATAAAAATAATTTTAAGTTAAAATAAGAATAAAATATATATTTTTAATGTTAATATGTTAATTTAATTTAATATGTGAATTTAAGATAAGATATATAAAATAAAATAAAAAATTTAAGTTTAGACTAGTATTCAATATATATAGGATATGTAGTACATTAAAAACCAAAAGGCTTGCTTGATTCAAAGGTTAAATAGCTGCTGAAGCTCCTCAGGAACTAAGTTTGATCCTCTTGCGCTCTCCTTTTTCAGGGATTGTCTCAGGAAAGATGGGTTAATATACAGTTAATATACGGCGTTATTAGATATATTAAAAGATATTTAACAAATTCGGTTTAGCGCTACCGGAAATGTTGACTAATAATAATGTAGTAGGTCTAAGTCATGAAGAAATATTAAAAAATTATGCAACCGTTAAACTTAACTTGTCAGTTCGTGTCGATCCAAATTAAAAATGTGTCGATCCAAAACGATATAACAGGTAAAACTATGACAAAACCGGTATTGATGTATGTATGAAAGGACATTATGTAAATTATAATGCATAATTTTTTTGGATCATAACTTCTTCTATTTTAATGCAGATTAAAATATTA